CCTTGGCTGCTTCAAGCGCTTACTTCTTTACATTTTAAATCCTTTTCGCGAAAAATCTGATTCTGTCTCCTGTGGAACATCTCAATCTCATGGTTCTAAATCTAATAAGCAATAAGTATATAGAATTATACCACTATATTTAAAAGGTAGAATAATTAAAGATCCCCTTAACTTGACATTTTTTAGCGAGTATACCCCCTTCAACTTGGTTTTTTTGAAAGTTATTAACTCCTCAGCTTGTTGGACCTTAGCACGGTCCATATGAAATTTTCATCGGACATGGCTGTACACAGTGAAAAAATAAATTATTTTTTATTTAATTAAAAATTTAAAACTCTAATAAAAGATTAGGGGTTTTACACTATTTCAGTGGTACTACAACTTAAATCCGACGAAGAATCCGGTGGAAGAATCAATTGGGTCCTTCCAATTGAACTCAAATCAGCTTTAAATACAACTACAACTCTAGTGGAAGAGTCGGCGAAAACTCGAATCTAACTCAAATAAATTTTAAATATAACTCAGGCGGAATAATCCGGCGAAGACACCGATGGAAGAATATAACTCAAATAAGTTTTAAGTATAATTCCGGTGGAAGAAACCAGCAAGCCCAACCCAAATGGGTCAATCACTGTCCAAATGTGTCCCACATACGGGGATTAACACCATTACCGCGGGTAATGTTCTCCGAAAGTACACCTAATTTTTGAGGTATTTACAAGGCCTAGTAAGCATAATTTATGCTGTAAGTTTAGGGAGAAATTTGTTATTTTGCTAAAGCAAGAAGAAGTTATATATATCACAAAATGAATATGGGAATATAATGAGAATAAGGAAGATAAATAGAATTAGGAATGAAGATGGTGATATAGGGATTGGAATTAAAAAAAAAAAGTCATTTCATCATTTTTATAGTTTGAGATAGAATAACAGTTAACAAAAATGGTAATTTTAGATTGATGTAGCAATTAAATGGCACTTTTACTCGCTCAAACTCATTTGAAGTTACTTTCTTTGTCATGTAGCGCGTTAAAGAGTAAATAACTTTCAAAAAACCAAGTTGAAGGGGTATTTAGTTAAGGTGTACACTTGCCAAAAACCGTCAAGTTTGACGGGAGGGGGGCTACAAAAAAAAAATGATATAGTACCTAAGGTATTCCATATCCTTCTATGTTACATTATTTTCAAAGTGAACCCCGTTTAAATGTATGCAGGTGGCAAATTCTTTCCTCTCAATATTGAACAACTCTTATCGAGTCTTTTCTTCTTTCTTTTTTTGTCCTTTTTTTCATGTATAATACAGAGGAAATGTCCAAAAGTAGTATGATAACGACTTTCGAATTTTTGAGTAGTTCCTTTCCGGTTTTCTGCAATTTAATTTCACATTGAGATTGACATGTATAGAATAAACTTCATAGGTAAGCTTAACATCGTCAATTTAATAATCTAATAGCGTCATTAAAAATTCATTTGTCAAAGTTCAAAATATTATTATTTATTATAAATAAATATTCTTATGATTAAGACGGTTGAATATTTTTCTTAAAGAGTGCAAAAATCTTAAAATTCAAATAATATGGACGGAAAACTTACAAACATATGAGCGATATTTGAGCCAAATGCATAAATAAGAGACACAATTATCGCTAATTTTTCGATTAAAAAGTTAGAGACCAATATATTACTTAGCATTTTGATTAAAATTACTCTGAGAAGAATCTAAGCACTACGTCATGGTCATGCATTGAGGTTATAAACCTCACTAAAGTAAGGCATAGAAGCATATTAAATTAATTATTACTTTCAATGTTCACTTCATCTTATAATTTATTATGATAAAACTCGAAAATAAATTATTTAATGATAATGGATAATAGTGAAATTCCGACAGATACTTCAATTGTACATCATTCCATACTGGTTATGTAGGCAATACATTACCCAAAGCTTGGAATTCATAAGAGTTTGTCTTCAACACTTCCAATGGAAAATATTTCAGCGCAAAGCTGTTTTCGAAAATAGGAAAGTTAAAATATTATTAAAATATATTACAAGCATAGAACCAAAATATTAGCATTAAATGCTCCAGCCAAACACCACCTATAGACTAATGTCATTTATAGTGTAAAACATTGGAGAAGGTGTCACACTTGCTAGAGAGTCAAAATACCTATAAAATATGAAAGATGCTTGCACCTTCTAGAGTTAGTGCCAGAGAAGTTAAGTCCCAAGAGAAGTTTCATATTAATATATTAATAATGTAAAAAAATTTACACTATTAGATCACATATAAGATAACTTAATTAGATAAAAAAGGCAACTCAATGCATGAAGTATTTCGTATTTATGTAGGGTCTGAAGAAGGTCGCATCCAATTAGGATTGTAATATAGGCAATCTATCCTAGTAGAAGTATTAGTGATTGATTCTACAACAGAAATAACCGTCCATAAAACATGAGATTAGTAAATTAAGGAACATAACTTACTATAACACGTCAAGAAAATCCTGGTATTGTACAAAAAATTATACTATTAGTGTATATAGATAAAATAGTTTAAGCTCTACACATCAATGATGTAATGATATTTACAGAATTGGGTTATTTATAAGATAATTACAGGAAACATTTTCTGATAAATATTACTCATCAATAACCTGTTAAAAAGATAACTAACCTGCACTATATAATAGGTTAAACTATAAAGATAGCGTAAACAAATTNTATATATATATACCTTAGGAAAAAAAAGGAAAATAAGAATAAAGAAATGAATATTAACCCTTTGATTTAGCCTAGGGTTTTGAAAACATAAATACACTTCAGTGGATATGATTCATATTTAGTGGTCTATCTCATGTGAAGAAGACATATTAAAACCCAAGATGCCAGACAAAGTTGTTGAAAGATTAGAAAGGAATATTTGGGAGTATGAAAGGGGAATTAGAAGGTAATATGTGTGTATGTGTGTGTTTTTATTTAGGTTTCTGCACATGTTAACCACATATTCTGCTTACTAGCAAACAAACACCCCTTTTTTGTGGTTCTCACTTCTCACTGATCTCTCTCCTTCTCAAGTCAATGACTCACTTGTACTTTAATGTTTTATACATATATTTTCAATCTATGTTTATATTTATTTATACCTATGTGTAAGTTTGACCTAAAACCCCTAACCATCCCCTAATCTATTTCAACATGGTCACAGAAATAAATAAAATGTGTTCCTACATTAGGTAGGGTGGGGGATAGTGATAGAAATAAAAAAATAAAAAAAATTATATAGACTGATAATGTAAGTAATTTTAACACTATCAGTGAATTTTAGTATATTAAAGTGTGTTTACCTGTCTTATTTTCTTGGTTGAGGCACATTTAAGATTTGAATATTATAAATTCGAATTCGAAATTCTACCACAACGTGTTGGATTTATTGAATTCGAAATCTCTTATTTAGAGCCCGTTTGGTTTAGCTGATTTAGAGTAGCTAATAAACATTAGGTGCTGAAAAACACTTTTAAGTATTGAAGCTGATTTAAAAAATAAGCAGTTACGTGTTTGGATAAAAGTGCTGAAATTAATAATAAGCAGTTGAAGAACTGGGTATACGAAGAGTTTTGTTTTAAAAAAATTATTTTAGGGATATAATAGTAAATATTTTGGTTAAACATAAAGTGCTTATAAGCTGAAATTTGATAATTCAATGTTTGGCGAAGTCAAAAAGTGCTTAAAATAAGTTAAAAACTGCTTAAAAAAAGCCAAAAGCAATAAGTTAGGCAATCCCAACTTACTGCTTTTTGGCTTAAAAGCTAGTTCTGCTGAAAAGTTACTTTTTTTAAGTCAATCCGAACGAGCGCTAAGTTTGGGAAGACCAACTTATGGCTTTTTGCTTATTTTTGGCTTATAAGCACTTTTAATTTTACCAAACGCGTAGATAAGTCAAAAAGTAATTATAAGCCAGTTTGACCGGCTTATAAGCCAGTTTGACCGGCTTATAAGCTTAGCTAAACACCCTCTTATACTTATTTAGTGAATGTTTTTAACACATATACTAGCCAATTTTAAGCTTAAGTTACTCTGGCTATATATGGTCGCAAATTACTAATCTCTCTTATTGTATTACATGTAGTTAATATTTGAGTGACCTGATAATATAAGAATATATAAAATTAAAATCTAAAAGACAAGATGAATTTAAAAGGAAAGAAGTAAAACGAGTTTCAAGTGAGAGAGAATTCAAAGTTTCAAACACAAAAAAAGACAAGAAGTAGAAGCGCACAGATAGGGGGAAAAGAATCACAGAGGAGAGTCTCTATCTCCCTCAACCATTTTTAACCCGTTCTCTACGGAGGGGAAAAATCAATCAAAAAGTGACCCTTTATCTTTTCCAATTCTTTTTCTTTTTGTTTTTTAATCTACCATTTATGTTGCTTTATTATTACTGTCTCTAGAAGGAGAATCTTGACGTTACTCAAAGTTGGTGTCATGTGATCAGGAGGACACGGGTTCGAGCCATGAAAATAGTCTCTTGCAGAAATACAGGATAAGACTACGTAAACCCTTGTGTTTCGGCTCTTTTCCGGACTCCGCGTATAAAGAGAACTTAGTGCACCGAATTGTCTTTATTTTTGCTGTCACTCACGCGGTCCAAAAAGTTTTATATTTAGAGTAAAGTACTTTCTAATAAAGGAAACTCTATACTCGAGTACAAATCCGAGAGTTTCGATTAAGAATAAAGGAGTATTTACTGCTCCACCATAATTTTTTTTTTTTTTT